TTTTCTAAGCTCTGTTTTAGCTGCATCTCACAAATATTGATAGATATGATGTTTTCATTATGATTTATTCCAACACATTTTCCAATTTCCCATGTCATTTTCTTCCTTGACATATGTATTGTTAATAAGTATGGTGTTTAGTTTCCAAATCTTTAGGACATTTCATGGTATCATCTTTTATTACATATCAAGATATCAATGATATTTTTTATATCAATATCATACACTGATTTCTTAATTTAGCCCATTATCATCAGAGAACATAGTATGGGGATTTCAGTCATTTCAAATTTATTGAGACTTATTCGATGGCCCAATACATGATCTAGAAAAGAATGTGTGCTCTGCAGTTGTTAGGTGTGTAGTTCTATAAATGTTAACTAGGTTAAGTTTTGTCAGTAGTATTGCTACAGGACCCACCCCCAATAAAAATCCTGAGCACTGAGTCTCTGTTAGACACCACTTCCAATGTATTATTACAACTCATTGCTAGAAGAATTAAGTATAATCTGTGTGATTGCACTGGAGCAGAACTCTTGGAAGCTTGCATCTGGATTCCTCTGGATTTTGCCTCATGTACCCCTTCCCTTTATTAATCTTTATTTGGATATTTGTAGTATAATAATCATTAAAAAAAACAAACTTTAGTTTCATTGATTCTTTCTACTGATTTCCTGTTTTTAATTTCATTGATTTCTGCTCTGCAAATTAAAAAATATACATATTGTTTTTTTCTATTTACTTTAGATTCAATATGCTTTTCTTTTTCTAGTTTCCTAAAGTAGAGGCTTAGATGATTGATTCTAGATCTTCTTTTCTTTTCTGATACACGTGTTCAGTGCTGTAAGTTTCCCTGTAAGCTTTGCTTTTGCTGCATCTTGTACTTTTTGATAGGTTATATTTTCATTTTAATGTTTTGAAAAATTATCTTGAGAATTATTTAAAAAATATGTTGTCTAATCTCCAAATATTTTGAGAATTTTTTCAGCTATCTTTTTTGTTACTGATTTCTAGTTTAATTTCATTGTGGTCTGAGAGCAGACACCATATGATTTAAGTTTGTGAAGATGTGTTTTAGGATCCTGAATGTTGTCTATCTTGAATGTACCAAGCAAGCATTTTTACGTGCTTAAGAAGAATGTGTATTCTGCTCTTGTTGGATGAAGTATTCTATGAATGTAAATTAGATCCAATTGATGGTCTTTTCATTTTAACTGCATTCTTACCAATGTTTTGCCTCCTGAGTCTGTCAATTACTGATACAAGGGCATTTAAGTCTTTAACTGTAATAACTAGTTCATCGGTTTCACCTTACAGTTCTGTCAATCTTTGTTTCATGTATTTTAACACTCTGCTGTTAGATGCATGCTGCATTAAGGATTGCTTTGTCTTCTTAGAGAATTGACCTGTTTACCATTAAGTAATGCCTGCCCATATTATTCCCTGATAATTTTCCCTGCTCTAAAGTCTACTTTGTCTGAAATTAAACCAACTAATCTCACTTTATTATGATTAATGTTAGCATGGTATATCTTTCTTCATTCCTTTACTTTTAATATATATATATCTTTATGTTTAAAGTGAGCTCCTATCAACAAAATATAGTTAGGTCTTGTTTTTTAATCTGCTTTGACAGTCTCTGTCTTTTGATTGAGATATTGAGACCTTGCACATTCGATCAATATAAATTATTGATATAGGTGGATTAATATGTACCGTATTTATAACCGTTTTCTATTCACTGCCCTAGGTCTTTGTTTCTTTCTTTCCTTTTGTCTTCTACTCCTTTTCTGCCTTCTCTAGTTTTAATTGAACATGTTATGTGACTCCATTTTCTCTCTTCTCAGCATATAAATTATGTTTCCTTTTAAAATTATTTTAGTAGCTTCCCTAGAGTTTACACTATACATTTACAACTAATTTAAGCCCACTTCAAATAATCCTACACTACTTCATAAGTAGTGCAGGTATCTTATAACTGAGTGTCTTGGCCCATTTGTACTGCTAGCTGAGACTTTATAAATTTTTCTTAATTTATAAAGAAAAGAAATTTATCTTCTCACAGTTCTGGAGGCTGGCAGGCCCAAGATCAAGGTGCTGACATGTTTGGTGTCTGGTGTGTACTGCTCTGCTTCCAATCTGGTGCCTTGATGCTATATCCTCTTGAGGAGAAGAATATTGTTTCCTCACCTGGCAGAAGATAGATTGGCAAAGGGACAGACTTTCTGTGTCAATCCCTTTTATAAGGACATCTAATCTCATTAGTGAGGGAGGAGCCCTCATGGCCTATTCATCTCTTAATGATTATGCCATTTACTGTCTCATTGGAACACCCGAATTTTGGAGGAAACACATTCAAATCATAGCACAGAGTATTCCACATTCCTCCTTCCAGTCTCTTATAACACTGCTGTTACTCACTTCACTTATCCATAGACAATAATTTATTACTGTTATTATTTTGAACAAGCTGTTATATGTTGGATCAGTCAAGAATAACAAAGTATTTTATTTACCTTTATTTATTTCTGCTCTAACACTGTTGTGTGTGTGTGTGTGTGTGTGTGTGTGTGTGTGTAAGACAGGGCCTTGTTCTGTCCCCCAGGCTGGCATGCATGGCACAATCATGGCTCACTGCAGCCTCAACCTCCCAGGCTCTAGTGATCCTCCTGCTTCAGCCTCCCAAGTAGCTGGGACTATAGGCAGGTGCCAACATACCTAATTTTTTGTAGAGACAGAGTTTCACCATGTTTCCCAGGCTGGTCTCAAGCTCCTGGGCTCAAGATCCTTCTGCCTTGGATTAAAAGTGTAAGGCACCACGCCTAGCCTTTGCCTTTTTAATGCAGATGAGAATTTCTCAACTGTATCATTTTCCTTCTCTCTTAAGAACTTTTAGCAATTCTTGCAAGGCAAGTCTACTGCCAACAGATTCCTTCATTTTTGTTTGTCTGAGAAGGTCTTTATTTCTCCTTTACTTGAGAAGGGTAATTTCATGGAAGAATTCTTGGTTGATGGTTCTTCCTTTGAACACTTTTTAAGTGTTTCACTCCATTCTCTTCTTGCCTGCGTGGCTTCTGAAGAAAAGTCTGATGTAATCCTTATCCCTGTTCCCCTACATGTAAGATTCTCGCACTCTCTGGTTTCTTTCAGGATTTTCTATTTTTCTTTGATTTTTCTACAGCTTGAATATGATATGTGTAGATGTAAATCTTTGTAATATTTATTGTGTTCAGTGTTCTCTGAACTTCCTTATCTGTAGTTTGGTTTTTGTCATTAATTTTGGAAAATACCCAGCCATTATTATTTCAAATATTTCATTTTCTATTCTTCTCAATCTGGTATCCCATTACACATATGTTACACCTTTCATGATTGCCTTACAGTTTTTCTATATTGTTTCCTTTTTTTCTCTCTTCTTTTTGTTTTTCTTTTTGGGGAGTTTCTGTTGAGGTATCTTTGTGCTCTGTGATTATTTCCGTGGCTGTATCCAGTCTACTAACGAGCCAGCAAAGACAGTCTTCATTTCTGTTACAGTGTTTTTTATTTATTTTTATTTTTATTGCATTTTAGGTTTTGGGGTACATGTGCAGAACATGAAAAACAGTTGCATAGGTACACACATGGCAGTGTGTTTTGCTGCCTTCCTCCCCTTCACCCACATTTGGCATTTCTCCCCAGGCTATCCCTCCCCAGCTCCACGCCCCCCCCCCCCACTGTCCCTCCCCTATTCCCCGCAATAGACCCCAGTGTTTAGTACTCCCTTCCCTGTGTCCATGTGTTCTCATTTTTCATCATCCACCTATGAGTGAGAATATGCGGTATTTCATTTTCTGTTCTTGTGTCAGTTTGCTGAGAATGATGTTCTCCAGATTCATCCATGTCCCTACAAATGACACGAACTCATCATTTTTGATTGCTGCATAATATTCCATGGTGTATATGTCCACAGTGTTTTTTATTTCTAGCATTTCACATTGATTATGTCATAAAGTATCCACCCCCCTTCCCCACTTATATTACCCATCTGCTCTTGCATGTTGTCCACTTTTTCCATTAGCCTCTGGAGCATATTGATTGTAGTTATTTTAAGGTCCTGGTCTGTTAATTCTACCCACACCTGCCATTGGCCATCTTGTACAGTAGATTCAAGCATGGACTTGAGATAGATTGCCTGTATTTGAATTCTGGTTCTCCTTTTCAGCTGTGTAATTTTCTGCAGGATACATAAATTCTCTATACCTAAGTGTTCTCATTTGTGAAGTAGGAATACTTATAAAACCCACCTCATAACATTGTTAGGAGAATCAAATGAGTTAACATGTGAAAAGTACTTAAAATAATTTCTGACACAAAATAAGCCTTCTATATATGTGAGATGATGATGATATAGCCATTTGTAAATCATGCCAGCACACTCCCATTTGAGGGCTTTCCCCTTGCTGTCCTTTCTCAGATGCTTCCCTGATGCCCACGCCACTGGAGTTCTCTCATTCAATCTCTATGAGTGTCACCATCACAGTGAGACCTTCTCAAGCACCATGTGTAAACACACTGTCCTTCAGAAGCTGCTAATCCCCAACCCTGCTGTGTTACTTTTCCATAGCAATCATGATGATCTGACATATATTTACCTGTTATTTTTTGTTGATTTTCGGCCTGCTTCAACTTAATGTAGGCTGCATAAAGTCAGGGTCTCTCTTCAAAATTTAAATAATTAAAATGTTTTTAGGGCAGTTTTCTCTGCATGCACATAAGGAAGTACTGTGTTACTCCTTACATTTATGTTTTCTAGGAATATTTAGTAACATTGAAAAATATTTATATAACACTATCTAACATGTGCAAAAGCAGCCATGGACAGTATATAAGATTTAAAGAGATTATGTGAGCAGATCAGTGTCCACAGTGCAGGGGATGGCACATGGCCTGTGCCAGGTCTATCTGAGTTCACAACCCTCTTCCCTAAGCCACATGTAATGTTTTTTAACTTTGTCTTTCAGTATGAATACTTCAATGCTGTGCTGATAAATGAAAGGGACAAAGACGGGAATTTTTTGGAGCTGGGAAAGGAATTCATCTTAGCCCCAAATGACCATTTTAATAATTTGCCTGTGAACATCAGTCTAAGTGATGTCCAAGTACCAACAAACATGTACAACAAAGGTAAGACTCCCAGATGAAGCATGTGCCTGTTCTGCCTGGAGCTTCTGCTTTGCTGTTTCTCTGGCTGGTTGTTTATGTCAGGGTTTGGCAGACTGTTTCTATAAAGGACCAGAGAGTAAATATCTTAGGCTTTGCCAGCCATAGAGTCTCTGTTGCAACTACTCAGCTCTGCTGTTTAGGCACAAAAACAGCCATATGTAAATCAGTGGGCTTGGGTGTGAACCAATAAAATTTATCTACAGAAAGAGATGGCTGGATGTAACCTGCAGGCTGTAGTCTGCTGACCCCTGATGTGGTGCTTTTGTTTTCTTCTTCCAGTTTCTAGAATGGCATTTAAGGGCTGGGGAGCTCCTAGGGGCACAATGGAAACAGCTATGGTCTTTTCTCAGAGTATAAAGCAGCATGGACCTTAACAGAATTCCTTATTTCCAGGCTTGTATGCCTCAAGTCCAGTCTTCACCTAAACTCTAGAGTTTATTTTTTCCCAAGTTCCCATCTACCTTTTCCAGTTGGAATTATAGTGGCCAAGGACTGGGCTTGGAGGACTCTGGTAGGACTGTGTTCTACTTCTTTCTGGCTGTGACCTTGGGCATATCACTTCATCTTTTTCAGTGCTAACTTTCTCATCTTATGATGTGTCTAATAATCATGTCTACCTCATGGGGGTGGTTGTAGGGCTAAATGGAATGATGTTTATAAAGGGTTTAAGTTGTTTTCAGCCTTTTTATCTATTGTTATTGAGTAGTAGTTTGCTCTACTTTGTCATACCTAAAAAACTTCTAAACAAAGAGCTAGCCTCCTAGAAAAATAAGCCAGAAAGTCATAGTGTATTCAAAGTAAAAAATGTGCTGCATTGTCTCCCATCACGGTTTCGAAGATATCAGGGGCCAGTTCCTATCACAGCAGTCAGTTTCCAAATCATATACAAGCGCTCAGCAATCAAGAGCAAGGGCTGTGGGCTTAAGTCCTGTTCTTCCCTGTGTAGGCTGTGTGATCTTAAGCAAGTAACATTGCCTGACTCTCAGTTTCTCTTTTTGTAAAACAGGGATAATGATACTACCTCCCTCAGAGCGTTAGTGAGAGGATACAAAACAATGCGTGTGTAGCCCTTAATGCACCCGTAGAATACAGGAAGAGCGCAGTGCATTTTAGCTGCTATTGTTTTTATTGGAGAATAACATGAATACAAACTGCACTTCTGAATAGTTCTAAGTCACTATTTAAGGTGCTTGGTCAATGATTAAAGAGATTCCAACTAACTGTCTCTGAAACATTTTCCTTGTGTCTGATCTTTGTGGTTGGATACCTAATGTCTCCTTTTCCTGGTTTATCTTTTATCCATCCTTAAGAGTCATTGGAGGCAGCACCCCATTTGTTAACTGTTCTTATAGTTACTGGGGATACGGAGGTGAATCAGATGCAGCCCTTCCCTCAAGGGGTTGGCAGTTCATTTGGGGAACAGACAGATAATGAGATAATTAGAACACCACGTATCACGTATTGGCCACAGTGCGGACAGCCGGGGGACAGTGAGAGTGCCAAGAGTGGGACCTGTCTGCTTGTTCCCATTGGCAGAGCCACAATTCATCTTTTTCCCTTTTTTCCTCTTAGAGAAAGTGATGTCAGTCTAAACTCCCAGTGGGCTCTGGACTGGGCCATATGCTATACCCTGCTCTTTACTTTGGACTCTTCCTTAGAAACAAATGGAACTAAGACATAGAGGGCTGAACTCAGCTTTGTTCAGTGGAGTTTAGTTCTCCAGAATGATCCTGTCAGCTGAAGAAGTCCTAAATGAAGCTGCCCCTTTTTGTGCACTGTGTCCAAAAGAAAGCCATCTTCTTGGCATTAAATATATTCCCAACTGAAGATAAAAAATTAACAAGATTTTATGGAGCAATTTCAGACATAAAACAATTCAGAATGATCTTTTAAAATATGACAGCTGCTTCAAGGCTGCTTGAGCCATTAACACCATTATAGAGATTTAATTGCACCTCTAGCTTTAAAGACATAATTGTGCCCTTTAATGGTAGGAACACCTAAGGGGCCCACACCACCATTGATCACACAGGCTATAGAATTACGCTTGTAAGAATCATCAGAGATAGTCAGATTTCTTGAGCCATGGGAGGTAGATAATGATATTCAAAGTCATTCTCAGCAGCCCTCCTGGGACCTGTCCATCACCTCTGCCCAGTCCATTGTCACTCAGTCAGGCTGCCGGGCATGGATCAGGGTCAACCAGGTGTTCTATTTTGTCTCAGCCAGGCAGTGAATCACTGCCCAAGGGCAGAGGAGAGGCAGGGACTTCATGCAAATTTTTGTCTCCACTCTACCTAATTCAAACCAGCCCCTAACAGCCTTTTTGTCTTTTCAAGCTGCAGAAATATATTTTATGTTTAGAAGACCCTCCAGCTCAGATCTAGTTATTGATGACATGTACTCAAAACAAATGTTCAGAGATTGGTCACTGGCTGTGCTGTTTTTGGGTTGGAAATCTTACCCCCAACAAAGAAAACCAATACAAGCTCATTCTCTCCTAGCTGCTTGGATTTCTGTGGGCACATAGCAAAGTGGTTTGATAATTGCTTAGGAGCTGTGATGCTCTGTGTTCTTCAGTATAATTTGTAGTCCTAGATGAAACTAGTTGGTAAACACTACCTGCTTTCTACAGTCTGCTTTCTGCCTCCTTGGGCGGGCCTGGCAACTAGGCTGTTCAGCTGGGTTCATGCTTTCCTCTCCGGGTGAGGTGCCTTTCTTTTAGATACCAAAAGAGACTACAGCTTCAAAGTTGGTGACGTGGGCAAGCTGTGCCCATGGAAAGTCAAAAGCCATTTTCATGGAGTCTTTAGAAATATATCTCAGGGCCTTCAGGGTGCCTGATGTAGCAACTTTTTTAATGAAACTCTTTCAGCAGATGTTTGCTGAGTGGCTGCTCTGGCTTCCCCAGCCTGTGAGTCTTACTATTTCAGAGACTTTGAAGATGAATGGCTGATACCTTTAGAGCATAAATGCCTCCTCATCCTTCACGAGTAAAGCATGAGGCAGGATGCTTTTGTGAGAGCTCCTGATGATCTGGCAGATAATTCAAATAAAGATTAAACTCTTTTAAGGACTTTCTAGGCTGAAGTGCTGTAAAGTTTATATATATACACACACACACACACACATACATACCCATATAGGTACATATATACATACACATTATATGTATGTGCATGTTTCTGTATAGGGGCAGGTCTGTGCATGTGTGTTTGTATAAATGTGAATTGTGTGAAAGAAAATACTGTGCTCTCAACCTATTCCTTCATTTCCATTTTCCACCTATGTCCACCCAGGTGAGACCCCTCACTTCTGTTCACTGAACACAACTTCTTTCTTTCATTGTATTTTATTTCACTGTGTTTATTCCTATTATTCCTGTCCCTCCTCTCCTGCTTCTCCTAATGCTCATTCTTAGAAATCAGCTCAAATTTAACCTGCTTAATTTCTTTTGTCTTGTGTGATGGAAGTGATTTATTCCTCTGCCTAGCATTGCTCTATTATGTGAATATATAGCATGCAGTCTTTCCTTCTCCACTTCAGGTTCTCTGAGGATGGAGGACTCTGCAGATGCAGCCTTGAGCCCCTGGTACCCCCGCCCATGCTCTTTATAGATGAGTTTTTTCTGGATGTTGGTTTGGGTGGAGGCCGCTGACACCTGTGCCTCCTGGGCTATGAGATGTCATCCAGGGCTGTAGTGTTCTCATGGTTCTTACAAGCAACATAAACAGAACCTGGCTGATTTAAATGATAAACTTTTTGAGAGGAGCCTGGGTGGCCCACAGACTCCTCAAGAAAACTAGAGAAAAAGGCCTGGAAACGTTTGGGGATGGAGAGAGACTGAGGCCAGAGTCACACTCACATCCAACCTGACCAGGACCCACTCTCCACGGTTGCCCCACCCTCACATCTGTGACTGCATAAAATATCTGTGCCTCATTTTCCTCATCCATAAGCTGAAGATGACAATCATAGTGAGTTGCCTCAGGGATTGTGCAGAGGATAAACACTCAGAGGTGTGCATAGCACATGCTGTCCACCCAGGACTCAAGTACTATGGTCTGAATGTTTGTGTCCCTCCAAAAGTTGTATGTGGAAACCTAATCACCAAGGTAATGGCATTAGAAAGGGAGCCTTTAGCAGGTGAGTAGGTACTGGAACTCCCAGACTGAGGGAGCTTATTGTCCAAGGGGGCTGTGGAGCGAAGCAAGTTGGGCAGATCCCAGCTGAAGTGGCAGCAGCGGGAACAGCTGCTCCTATGTGGAAGTCAGAAAGGCAATTATGGAGCCTGTGAGGGCTGGCCAGGTGGTGAGAGGCTGTGAGAGCCATCAGGAGGTCATGAACACCATGGTGACAGGTAAAATATGGCTGACAGCTTTTCCAGGAAGAGAGGTGCTGTAGAATACTGGGTCCCACTCACACTGAAGAATAGGGAGAGGGAGGAGGTATCCAGGGCCTGATTTGAAGAAAATTCAGAAAAAATGGTGCACAGGCCAAGACTGGGTGGCCTGGGGCCCTAGAGAACCAGCTCCAGTGAGCATATCAGCCCCATGAAGGCAAGAGCCCCAACATGATACTTAGCATGTGGTAGAGGCTCAATAAATATGTATTGCAAGGTAAAGGAATAAATACAAATTGCAATCAAGACACTCTTTCCACTTTATTCTTGCATAGAGGAAGAAAAGACATAGGAAGTAACCCAATCTCAATTCCTCTTCCTCCCCCAGCAATGGAGGACATCTGGGAGAGGTAGGCTGAGGTGGCAGCGGTGAAGGGGAGGTGTGAATTGCAAGACACAGGCTAGACCACTCCTTCATTCTCTAGACTTCCCCAGCAGGGCACCCAGTCAGGCTGAAAACAGGGCTGCAAAGCTATGTTGTGCTCAGGTCCAGCCTCTGAAATGAAAAGAGCTCCAGGAAAGGGAAGACCTGTAATCACCACTGTAGAGCACAAGAAATCAATCTGTCTATTATAATCCAATAGGTTCTTCTAAAAAGCCCGAGGAAAGGGCAAAGGTCTGATGAGATGGGATTGGGTCCCCTGCTTAGGAGCAGAGGATGCAGGCTGCTGGAGGGATGGGCAGGCTTGCTGAATTTGGATTTGTCAGATGTCTCAACCTATTTTTCAAATGTTGAGTTTGATAAAACACAAAATGCATTTTGCCAAGCACTTTTCCCCTTAATTACATGTGTATATTTTAAGGGAAATTTAATCCATATGTTTCTGATTTGTTTACACGGAAATCATTAAAATGTTGTTTTCCAAGAGCTATTTGATGTGCAAGAAGGCTCACAAACCTTGTAAAAAGCTGTTTAAATTTTTTTTTTGCTTTCTCTTTGTTTCTATTCCCTTCATGTGTGTGTGTGTTTGAGAGAGAGGGAGAGAGAGAGAGCGCACACACATAAGTGAACAAGGGTGACTGACCCCAGGACGTCAGAAACAGATTCCAACTCAAAATGGATTTTCTTCTCGGGATTCTGAACTGAAGCATTTTGATTAGGCTCCAATCGGGCTTCCTTGTTGTCTTCCAGCCCTAATGGAATGTGATGGTGATGTGGCCATAACTTGGTCTTGGGAGTCAAGATCAGGGGAATTACTCCAGAGCACACTGCTCTGGACCTGGAGAAATGACACTTAAGAACCTCCTTCCACATGGTCTGTTGCTACCTACAGTCCTCACCAAGACCCAGGGAGCTTTCCCAAGATGTAGTGTGGATTCCAGGAAACCCTGTTCCAGCAATGTGAGCATAATAGGACTAAGGCATTTGGTAAGAAACATACAAAATAGTGCCACTGAAGTGACTCCACAGCTGTCATCCGAAACTACTCATAGTTTTTCTCTTCTAGTTTGGAAATTACATTTTTAAATCACAAAATAACTATCCCTGACTTAAAATTCACAAGTTGAGTGGCTGAGTTCCCGTTTTATTGGCAATGCCTCTATACTTCCTCAGTGTATGTGACACACATGCACATAACCATGGGTCTGCAGAGATGTATATGTCTGTATGCATAGGTGTGTATCTCTATTTCCTCAGAGGTGGTATTAGTAGAAGGAAGGTGTCATGTGGCCTTTTGTGGTCTCTCAATCCTATCCTTGGCTTATGTTTAGCCTGGAAGTTGCACTTGATAAATGAGTAGGTGGATGGATGGATGGATGGATAAATGGATGAGTAGATGGATGAATAGATTGATAGATAGGTGGATAGGTAGTTGGGTGGGTGGGTGGATGGATGGATGGACGGACAGACAGATGGACAGACAGACGGACAGACGGATGGATGGATGGATGGATGGGTGGATGGAGTGGACGGAGTGGATTACTTACAAACAGCTATGCTCTGAAATGAGGACTTTCAGTGCATTATCTCATTGACAATGACCCCATGTGTTGTAAGCAGCAGTGGGGACCGCCATTCTCCAAGACAGTTCTTCCACAGCCTCTGTTTTAGAGTCAGGTCCAGAGAAGTTACCTGAGGCAAAATTCAAAGGCATCACTTCAGTTACAGGTGGTTCTTTCCCAAAATGCAAGTGAGAAAAGAGTTTATGCCTCCTGCCTAAGGCTCTCTGAAACGCTGTTCTCATCCTTGATCCCCTTTTCACCTGGGCCATTGTCCTGTGCCATCCCCATCATGTCTGTTCTTGTGTACTTTTGACCTCTTTCCAGAGCCATCAAGGAGTCTTTGGAGAATGACAGGCCTGGACTTGCATCCAATGCTATGAATATTAACATGGTGGACTAGAGAGAGCATTTAACTCCGGGGGCTTCTGTTTCTTCATCTGTAAGATGTAAATTGTTAATTTGAGCATTAAAGAAGGTGCAGAGCTTCTGTACAGCAAAAGAAAGCATCATTAGAGCAAACTGGCAACCAACAGAACAGGAAAAAATTTTTTGCAGTCTACCCATCTGACAAAGGGCTAATATCCAGAATCTATAAAGAACTAAAACAGATATACAAGAAAAAAAAAACAACCCCATTCAAAAGTGGGTGAAGGATATGAACAGATACTTTTCAAAAGAAGACATATGTGAGGCCAACAAACATATGAAAAAATGCTCATCATCACTGGTCATTAGATAAATGCAAATCAAAACAACATTGAGATACCATCTCACACCAGTTAGAATGAAGATCATTAAAAAAATCTGGAGACAACAGATGCTGGAGAGGATGTGGAGAAATAGGAACACTCTTACATAGTTGGTGGGAGTGTAAATTAGTTCAAACATTGTGGAAGACAGTGTGGTGATTTCTCAAGGATCTAGAAATAGAAATTCCATTTGACCCAGCAATTTCATTACTGGGTATATACCCAAAGAATGGTAAATTATTCTACTATAAAGACACATGCAGCCCTGTGTACTATAGCAAAAACCCGGAACCAACCCAAATGCCCATCCATGATAGACTGGACAACAAAAATGTGGTACATATACACTATGGAATACTACGCAACCATAAAAAACGATGAGTTTGTGTCCTTTGTAGGGGCTTGGATGAATCTGGAAACCATCATTCTCAACAAACTGACACAAGATCAGACAGCCAAACACCGCATGTTCTCACTCATAGGTGGGTATTGAACAACGAGAACATATGGACTCAGGGAGAGGAGCATCACACACTGGGGGCTGTTGCGGGGGGATAGGGGAGAGATAGCGGGGGATGGGGAAAGTGGGGAGGGTTAACATGAGGAGATATGTCAGATATAGTATGCACCTAAAGTAAAAATTAAAAAAAAAAAAAAAAAGACCGGGCGTGGTGGCTCACGCCTGTATTCCCAGCATTTTGGGAGTCTGAGGCAGGCAGATTACAAGGTCAAGAGATCAAGACCATCCTGGCCAACATGGTGAAACCCTGTCTCTACTAAAAAAATACCAAAAAAATTAGCTGGGCATGGTGGTGCGTGCCTGTAATCCCTGCTACTTAGGAGGCTGAGGCAGGAGAATTGCTTGAACCCCCAGGAGGCGGAGATTGCAGTGAGCCGAGATTGCGCCACTGCACTCCAGCCTGGTGACACAGCAAGACTCTGTCTCAAAAAAAAAAAAAAAAAAAGAGAAGTGGAGGTAAGCCTTTCTTCAGTTTGCTGACCTGTCAAGGACCAGGAGATTATTTAAAAACAAACAAAAAAAAAAGGTGAAGGTGCAGCACCCAGCACAGCACCTGGCACACGGAGGCATTTGATACACATTGATTCCCCACATAGACTTAGTTCCCAGCAAACCAGCTGGGTTACCCTCATTGCCCTGCCAGAAACTTGCAGGGGATGCTCATCTCCAAGCCCAGACTGCCTTCCCTTCATTCCTTTTTGTAGAATGAAGTGCAAATGTGCTCACAAGCCAGCTCTGGTTTATTGCCTTCTTCCTGGCTACCCCATTCCACCTCTTCCTGGTCGTACTAGATCCCAGCAGTCCAGACTCGCTGAAGACCTTTGCGTAGGCTCTGACATCCTGCTGAGGGTGCTGTCCTTTCCTGAGAGCCCAGCTCCATAGTTGCCGTGTCTTTCCCTCCAGCCCTAGCCCTTGTCTCCAGAACCATCCTCTGTTTCCTCATGCATGCCCCCTGTGGAGGGTTCGTCTCTCCTGTTACAGTATTCATTACATGGTGCAGCAGTTTCTTTTTCACTGCACTCTCCTCCCTTGAACTTGGGGGCAGGAGCTGTCTCTGTGTGTGTGTGTGTGTGTTTTTTTTTCATTCCCTTGGGACCCTAGCAGAGGACCTGGAATAGAAAAGCGTTTGCAAGGATGCTGTTCAATTGAAGTGAATCCTCTCACTACAGGCCATCACAAATGGTGGTTTTTTATCTGCTTTGTGGTTCTGTCAACTTTGCTTGTATTTAAATTTTGATTCTTTTTTTGTTTGTGTCTTTCTGAAGACAGTAATTTTAGAGGTATGTCCTGAAGTAATTACTTTCAGGATCTTCTAATTTGTTTCTATTTTTAATCTCTCTTTTAGAAGGAATGGGAATCCAGCTGGAGTCTTGCAGTTGGTTAGGCGAGAGAAATTCTGAAAGGTGGTGCCAGGGGCAGTAAAGGACAATGGGAGCGCAGGAATGACTACTAATAGTGTTTTATTTCACCCTGGTGCCCTGACATTTGTGAAACATCACTGTAATAGTAGGGAGCTGGAGTTTGTAGGTGATTTACTTTAAAAAATGACTTAGAGAGGGTTCAAGGTTGTTCCTATGACACCTTTATGCTGAGGCACTTGCTTTCTGGTCTGTATTTTGCCTGGGAAGGAGAAGGGTGGAGCCACCTTCAGCATGGTGAAAATTGCAGCAATGAGTGCTACAGCCTGTGGTGGCTGTCAGGTGTGTTCCTGTGCAGAAAAGAGATTACGAGCCACCGTCTCTGGGCTGACTCAGTTAGTTATATATGCCACATGTCCCCCTGTTTGAGAAGGAGGCTGCCTTGCTGAAGGAAATGCAGGATGGGCTTCCAGGATTTAAGAAGCACAGTAGAGACCAGCAGATGGTCCTGCAGGCAGCCCCCAGGCCTCCTCTGGAATGCTACCCAGGTGCCCTGGCCAGTCATGGGGCTTGCTCAGTACTTGTGGTATGAGTGTAAATATAATATATATGTCCTTGCTGCCTCCAAGCTGACCCTACTCCCACAAAAGCCTCAGACCATGCTCCTTGCTCATCTGTGCAAAGACAACTGTAGCACCTATCTCATGGGGGTTTCGTGAGGATAAAATGATACGATGGATGTTAAGCACTTCAGACTACTATGTAACAAAGGTTTACTGACAGCCTCAATTGTTAGTATGGTTAAAGAATAATAGTGAAGGCCACAGTGGTATGGCTTATGCCTGGGAATATATCTGATCCTGAGCCAGGTAGCCTTCTTTTTTCTTCTGCACCTTGGAAACCCTTTTTCACTGTGGTTTTAGATCAAGAAATTCAGTGAACAGAGGACAATGAGGAGGTAGAGTTGCAGGGTCAGAGCTGACAAGCATCCCGGCAGGTGGCTCAGTCTCTGATTCCTGGACCTGCTCTCCACCCACTCGCTCATCATGCATGGATGTGGTGAACTTCTGTGTGTTCATGTCCTACTTCTTGGGGCACTTGGCTTCCAGGAAGCTTGGTGTCTATGTCAGTGAAAGGCTGTAGGGCTTTGTATTAGTCCATTTTCACACAGCTGATAAAGACATACCTGAGACGAGGAAGAAAAAGAGGTTTAATGGACTTACAGTTCCTCATGGCTGGGAGGCCTCACAATCATGACAGAAGGCAAGGAGGAGCAAGTCATGTCTTAGATGTATGGCAGCAGGAAAAGAGAGAGCTTGTGCAGGGAAACTCATCTTTATAAAGCCATCAGATATTGTGAGACTGTCTCACGAGATAGTGTCTCATGACAGTATTATGAGAATAGCATGGGAAAGACCTGCCCCCGTGATTCAGTTACTTACCACCAGGTCCCTCCTACAACACCTGGGAATTCAAGATGAGATTTGGATGGGGACACAGCCAAATCATATCAGGCTTCAAATAATGCTCTTTGCTTTCCTTTTGCTGGGAACTCTTAGAAGGGCCTGGGAGCTTTCAGCTGTTTGGAAGCACTAGCATTGGCAGGGACATAAAGAAAATCTTTTCATTTTTTACACTCATTTACTCTTCCCAAAACCAAGCTGATGGAAACTTCTGTCCAGAACACACTATCTACTCATTGACCTTAGAGACACTCACCTGTACATTAGTCAACTGGTACCTCCATCGGTTTTTTCCTTCAGTTAACATTTCTATGGTGCCTACTATGTGCCAGAAACAGTATGGTCTCATACAATGCAATCCTACCTACAACTCACTGAAGCAGGGACCATTATTAATTTCCATTCTACAGGTGAGAAAGCTGAGGCTATAGATTTGCTCAGAATCACTCGGCTGGCAAATGGGCCATCAGCATGCAAGCCCAGTGCTTTTGCTTTAGACCACCCAGGCTCCATGCTGCCTTTGTCTACTGTGTCCTGCATGCCATCATCTCCACCACTCTGATGGCTGACTTTTCAACTAGCTATGTCATACCTGTTTTTTTTTTTTTCTTTTTTTCTTTGAGATGGAGTCTCACTCTGTCACCCAGGCTGGGGTGCAGTGCTGCAATCTTGGCTCATTGCAACCTCCACCTCCCAGGTTCAAGTGATTCTACTGACTCAGCCTCCCAAGTAGCTGGGTTTACAGGTGCATGCCACCACACACAGCTAAATTTTTGTTTTTTTAGTAGAGACAAGGTTTCACCATGTTGGCCGGGCTGGTCTCAAACTCCTGACCTCAAGTGATCCACCTGGCTCAACCTCCCAAAATCCTGGGATTACAGGCGTGAGCCACTGTGCCCGGCCATCATGCCTGTTTACACGCACAATTTACATATGCAGCAAATGGAAGGCCCTGTTTTTGTCAAATTGTGCTATTTTCTTCTCAGCATGTAAAAATCCATCATAAATGAAAACTAGTCTTATTTTACATAAACACTTCCAATTTCTTCCCTTTATGAAAATAATGTTGCAGCAAAGAGTCGTTTTAAAAATCGGAGGCAAATTCTGCAGCAGAATGCCAGTGGGTACCAACTGCTCACACATAGGGGATATTTCTGTTGGGAATGAGACGTTTCCACATTTAATCCTGCAAACTTGCCATACCAAAATATGTATAAGAGAAGTGAGTAAGGAGGTGATGATTATTCAGAATGCAAAAAGGCTCTTCTCCTTGCCAGAAAGTTCACTGCAGTATGTTTAGGAGAAGTGAATTCCTTCACTGGAGTGACATTGGCAGAGCTGGGTTCTGTGGGACACTGCCAGCATCTATTGATTCAATAAATATTAATGGAGCACCTCTAGCATGCCAGATGCTGTGCAGGTGTGAGGAGGTGTGGCGGGAGCTGAGGAGATTCTGTTCATGCTCTCTTGGAGCTTATAGGTCAGTGGGAAGGCAGGTGGGAAGTCAGCATACAGCTGAGCATATGATGCACCCAGAGGAGATGCTGTAAAGAGTTGTGGTACAGTAAGGGTGTATTCCATGCAGCTCAGCCTGGGCTGAACTGGCAAGGTAGGGGTGGCCCTGGGCAGAGGACACTTAGCTCTGCTACCCTCTGAAGGATGGGTAGGAAATAATTTAGCCAGGGGCTGGGGTGAGGTGAGAGGTGGAGAATATTGCAGTGGGAGAGAACACACCACAAGCTATTGGTAAGTAATCTTTGACAAAAGGTTTGGGGATAAGGTAAGGGAGGGTAATGCATTGGAGAATCTATTGCTCTTGGCATTCCACTATGTACCTGAGATGTTCAAGGAATATGAATTTCTATTATAGAAAGAGAAAGCCATTCAATTTGATGCAGCAGCATTTCCCTAACTTATTTGATTATGGCATCCTTTTATCATGGAACATCTCAGAAGGTATGGGCGTTTCCTGGGACCAAGAGATTCTGCTGAGCTGGAACTCCCTGTGCTCAGGAGAAGGGTCCAAAAGATGCCCAGCAAGTGACAAAGATGCAGAAGAAAATGCATAGTAAAATCTGTGTGTGTGTGTGTGTGTGTGTGAGAGAGAGAGAGAGAGGGAGAGAGAGAGAGAAGGATAGAAG